GGGGCCTGGGGGGGGGGGGACCCAGGACTGCTTTTGATAATGGCGATGGGGCAAGGATAGTGCTATGCAGAGTTGCACAAGCGTTAACTGGCATTAGTATGAGCCAAGATGCTCATGCGTGCTTCTTCAGTGAGCTGTCCCAGCCACCCACTTGCCGGATGAGGAAAATGAGGCTCAGAGAGGCAAAGTCACGTGTCCGAGTTCCCACAGCGGGGCTAGGATTTGCACCCAGGTCCAGCCGACTCTGGAGTCCAAGGTTTTGCCAGCTGCTAAGACCCCTTTTGGCTTGTTCTCCAGGCTGGGCAGCATGGCCCTGGGGGGAGGGAACACGGAGGTGGGGGGGCAGTGCAGAGGACTTCCTCCTGGCCCAGCTGGGACCCCTCCCAGGGTGACAGGCTAGAATTCTCAGTTCCCAGGGCACCTGAGTTTTCCCTTCTGGGGCCGCAGGGAGCCTAGGTCCCAACTACACAGGCGGGGCCTCCGCTCCCAGCCCAGAGACTGCCCCCGGGAATTAGCTAGGTGCCCCAGTGCTCAGGGCAGGAGGGCAGGACTGGGATGTTCACCTGCAACCCACTGTGCCAAGTGCCTTATCAGCTTCCTCTAAGCCCCGGGGCCCCACGTACAGATCAGGAAACTGAGGTTCAGGGACGGGAACTGGCTTGAACAAGTTCACAGAGAGAAAGGGTCAGGGAAGGATTGGAAAAAGCCCAGTCTGACCTGGGAGCCTGTGGTCTAGGGTGGAAAGCTGCCCCCCGCCGTCCCCCCAAAGACTGAAGGACAGACCGAACTCTGCACTGAACCCACCTTGGCTACCTGCTTTCTGCCACGGAACTGAGGGGCTCGGTCTGCACCCCCACAGAGTGGAGCCCACAGACCACTCTGCCTGCTCTGAGCACCTGCTGTTGAGAGGCTGCTTTGTGCCAGGCCCCTATTTCTCTGTGCTCTTAGCGCCCAGATACACCAGCAAAGGTGCTGGCAGGTGGAAAACTTCCCCCCAGACCCTTCACCTCCTTGCTGTACTCATGCTTCTGGAACGATGGGGTGGTACCCGCAGCCTGCGGGCTGACGGCGAGTGGGGAGGCAAAGGGTTTGTCGTCTGGAGGACGTGGCTTTGGTCCCTGGGCCTGCCACTAACGCTTGTGTGGAGTGGGCATGTCCCTGGACCCCTCTGAACCTCGGTTAACTCATCTGTAAAGCGGGTACACGAATGCTTATTAAGTCGTTAAAAGTATTTTTAGATTATGAAATACAGGACATTCATGGCATCGTATTCGGTACACAAAGAAGCTCAATGAATGAGGTTTTTAAAAACTTAAGAACGACTGTCATTCTTATTCGAGAAGGGAGGCATCCCGAATCTGAAGCAGGTGCCTTTGGGCCCACAGCTGCTGGTTGCCGGAATGAGCCAGAAACCTCCTCTTAACAAGCTAGAAGTGCTCCCCGCACCGTCTCTGACCAGCTGCATGACCGTGGGCAAGCCGCCGCCCTGTGCCTCAGTTTCCTCCTCTTTACAAGGGGAAGATGCTGCTTCTCCCTCCCGGGACTGTGAGAGGATTAGAAGCGAAGGTGTGTTTCATGCAATGCTGGGCACACAGTTAACACTGAACACATTACAAATACAGCTTTATCACCTCCAGCCTCACCCAGGGAAGGGACCTGCGGACAGGGGCTAGGGAGCAGGGCTGAGAGGGAGGCTTCAGGGTCCCTTCTCACCCCTGTCCTCGGACACCAGACAACCTAACTCCCAGCACGGCTTTCTGGAACGGCTGCTCTGTCCGGGGCTGTAAGAGCCCCAGGGAAACCTTGGATAATGAGTGCAGGGCTCTGCCCCGGGAAGCCCGTGGCAGGGCGCCTGGAAAGAGCACAAGCCTGGTGTCAGGCGGGCCCGGTGCAAATCTCTAGCTCGGAAGCCTTGGCCAGGTTGCTTTATTTATAGGAACCTCAATTTCCTAATCTGTAAAGTGGGAGCGATAATAGCACCAGTCACGCGGGACTGTCTATTCGGGACAAACAACAAGTCACGTAAACGATTTAATAAGAAGAACGGAAAAACATGGTGGGGGGGAGGGGGTTGCAAGGAAGCCCCTGACCATCTCCTCCTCCCCACGTCCCACCCACAGCATGTCCAGTCCCAGACCCTCTGAGACCTAAGCAGCGAGATGCACATTATCCTAACGTCATCTGGGATCGCGGCTGTCGGTGTCCCAGCCTACTACCCCCTTCTGGAGCTGGGTTCCCTCGGCAGGGTTTGCTTGGCCTGAGACCTCCGACCACCTGTGCCCAAATTGGTGGCCGCACCGAGAGGGCTGAGGGGACCAACGTGGGCCCGGCGTAGAGGGTGGAAGCCGGGGTTCCCCTAGCACCTTGGGGATCTGCAGGTGCGCAGGATGGGGGTCGGTGTCACCTTGCGAGTGGAGGGGAGTGGGTCCCCCAGCACAGGACGGTGCCAAACGGAGAGATACCGGCAGCAGAGACGGTGGTAAAACAAACCAGCACCAGCTCACCTGGCCGGTTCCTCCAGCGACTCACCAAGGGAAGCAGCAGGTAAGGACTCTAGGCGGCCACAAGTGGGCAGGAGCCCCAGACTGGACCTCCGGCACCCCCAGGCCTGGGCAGCAGGCAGGGGCTCTGAACCAACCGGGGGGGGGCATGGGGGCAGCTCACAAGCCCTGTTTGCAAGCAGCCTAGGAACTCAAGGACCCCAACCCATGGGATGGGAGCTCCCCCTCTCTGGACACTTACCAGGATCCCAGCTCCAGGACCCCCACCAGATTCTTGATGGCCTCCCTCGAGGCCACATCCTCCAGCACCCCCTCCCTTCAAGCCGCCTCTGGGGCAGTGGGGGCACTTTGCCAAGAGCCGGGCCCTTCCTTGGAGGTTCCCTCAGGGCCTCCACCTTCTCAAGGCCCCCGCTCTGGAGGGGGGCCCCCGCCTGCGCATCCCCGGCTCTCTCTTTCCCAGGCTGGAGGGTTGCCTGTTTCTGGGGCACCCTTCCTGCCTAACCTCATTAGATGGTGCCAGGCGGCTTCTGAGGGCCCCACTCATGCTGGCCGGGGCGGGGTGGTGTGGGCTTCCCCCCCGGGGGAACTGGCGGGGCGGGTGGCGGACGGCGGGCACACTCACCCAGGAGCAGGTTCATGAGCACCTCCTGGCCGGCCAGTGTGCTGCTCTTCACCAGGCAGAGGATGGTACCCCCGATCCAGGGGATGCCGTGGCCCGTGATGCCAATGAGCTTGACCATGGAGCGGGCGCTGGCCCAGGACGCGGCACGGCCGGCACACACCCCCAGCCGCTTGGACATGCAGATGTCAATGGCCAGCAGGGAGTTGAAGGCGATGCCCTTGAAGGAGGGGTTCAGCTGCATGCAGTCCTCCTCGGGCAGCTGCTGTGACTGGCGCCTCTCGCGGGCCCCATCACCAGGGGACGGGGGCTGCGCCGAGGGGCCCGGGGCCTTCCTGCCCGAGCTGCGGGGCTCCGGGGCGCCCTTGGGGGGCTGGTTCAGGGACAGGAACTCGGCTCTGTTGAGGACGTTGTTGCGGTCCCGGGCCCGGGCGCGGCTCTGGGAGGCTGGCATGGTGATGCCTCGCGCCACAAGGGCCGGTGCCAGCCGGGCTGGGAGGCCTTCTCCCCGAAGACTGGAGCCGCCCGGGGATCCCGCCACCACTCCCTGCCTCCCTGCCTTCTCCGCAGCAGCTGTTAAATATAGAGTGCAGGATTGCACATGGCTGTTTACCTCCAGCTGCCACCGGGCTCCACGGGGACGTCAGTGCCAGCTGCGCAGCCAATCGAGCCCACCGATGCGGGCCAGCGCCAATGGAGCCACCGGGGAGGCGGACGAGTCCACAGCTGCGGCCTCGCTGCCTCGGGGCCTGGGCTATTTAAATCTTCCAATGGCTCACTCCCCGGGACTGGAGGAATCTGGGAAATGTAGTCCTCCCGCTGCCCTGGCCCAGAGGCCCCCAGACGCAGGCCCTGAACTAACCCCTGCTCTTACCAGGTTCCCTCGGAGCAGCGCAGCATGGACCCGTGAGCCAGGCCCGCCCGCCCCATTGGCCTGGGCCCT